GGGCTAAAAAATATCAACTTTCCCAGCGTTTTGACCTGACAACTTGGGTACCTGTACTGAATGCCAGGTCAATGAACTGGACTCTGAGATTAATCATTTAAAATGCAACGGGCTGCTAACTTACCTATGTATTTGTGCAAGGGAGAGATTTGAACTGAACCGAAGCTGAGATGTACAGCAGTAAACTGAAATTTTAAATCAGGTTGAAAAAAAAAAAACTGATCTCACAACTGGACCGATCTTTGGAAAATAGTCTAATTCACTTAAATAGTAATCATACCCAATAAACGTAGATATGGTTTTCTTGTGATAGGTAATTAAAGACGCCTTACACCAGCTTCAAATTAAGCCGCAGTTTTGGCCTACCTACCTGTTATCACTTGCTGAACAGCTGTCGGATCGCCGCCGGCCGTTGAGATTTTGCCGTAGTCACGTGGTCAGATGACGCGACAACCGGCTTTGCGATTTCGAGATCTGCGCGTTCTTTTCACTTAATAGACCATTTATATTCAAAAGGCGCCCGGGCTGATTATTCAGCACGTTAAAAAATCCTCGATTTTTTCCCCCAGGGTATTATTATTTTTTTTTTAAATGTCTCGATTGCAATTTCGCGAACCCAAATGCTATCCCTTGAGTGAATTGCGTCAATGCAACTCTGACGTGCTAAGGAAGAACGCCGTATGAACATTCGAGAGTTGCCAAATTTCCCTCAATAAAATGTTTATTTTTAAGGAAAGTTATGGATATTTTTCCTCGAAATTCTTAGAAACATCAGATGGAATTGCAAACAAAATTTTCTATAAAATTGGAAAGAAAATACTCATAAGTTTACTGGGAAATTCGTGTTTTATCAAAGGAAATTTGGCACCGCCTGAAGGCTCATACGGCGTTTTTCCAATGTACGGCAGAATTACTGTGAATTATTCATCAATAAGATGAGAGTCTCGCCAGTGCAAACTCGATTAACCGCGATCTCGCGGATACGATCACAAGTTCGCGATTTACCCGCGAGGATTTCCAAATCTTTCTCCTATACGTCGACAAATTCTTCATTTTTTACCCCCCAAAAGCGTTTAATTTGTTCCATATCCTAGGTAAACCCCCTACCCCCTTCCCCTCATACATCTCGATAGGGTCTGATTCGCGATTTCGCCGCCCGGGGCTAACAAAAATTTGTCGTACTTATTTAGATTTCGAAAGTGCGGTTACCTTTTTTCATTTTTTCATTGCTTTTTTACTTCTTCGTTTTTCAATCTTGTGGAACGAGAATAGAAAGGGGGGGGGCGTAAAGATGAAATACGCCTTCGAAGTCACCTTAAATCTGCCGCCTCTCAAAATATCTCGCCGGGGGCTCCAGAGCCCTTCAGCTCCCAAGATGCGCGATAACATAAAAAAGTCAACTTTACTAACATCCGGTTCGCAGTGATTCACTGCTCAACTTATGTTTTATTTTTTAAAAGTCCATGCTCAGTGATCGCATTTAGATGAGACCGGATGGTAGACTGAAAAAGTTCTGAAATGATCGTAGCTGAAATCTGAAAAAAAAATAATTAAGTAGGAACACATAAAAGGAAATTAATTTCGACATAACACGACCTGATACAGTGATGAAGCCGTTCATCTTCCTCTATTTTGGTTTCCGCCTAGAATTCTCCTCTTGTCATTGGCGGAACTATGAGGGTCTGAGGGGTCTCGCGGCCCCCACTATCCGCCTGCACCCCAGAAATCCACTTGGCCCCTCCTAAGAAACGCAAGGAATTTTCCTAAACGAGTACCTACGTGACGTAATATATGGACTACATTTTGCAATTTGGAACTATAAATTCTAGCCGGGTTTAAAAACAACGTATGTGCCATTCGTGTCCCTATGCACGTAAGTGTTTTTCCAGAAGAGCCAGATTTTATAATTCCAAATTGCAAAATGCAGTCCATTTCATCTTTGAAATTGTAATTAGGGCAATTTTTTTGTGAGGACGGCTCAAAATTGCTTCTGAGACGACTCCATTTTCCAAAATTTTCCCGGGGAGGCTCTTACACCCTGACTTCTCTTTGGAACTAGGGGAATCCAAATTCCTTGAACTATGATACGTACATGGACATATGAACTATGATACAGTATCACGGATATCCCTAGATGAAGGAGGTGCATATCTGCCAGGGTTGCATGGGTGAAATGAAAAATATGAAATATTAAAAATTTCCGCGAAATATTTCATGAAATTTCAGTAAGTTTTGAAAAATATGCGACAAATTTTCAGGGGCTAGTAATGCAACACGCACTATTTAAAAAAACACCAAAAGGCACAAATCGATCGCCTTTCACTCAATTTTGCATTTAATTTCGAAACATATTTTTCGTATTGTTCTGAAATTTCTTGAAATATTTCGCATGAAATTTCAAGTTTTTATTTTTCATTATCACTTGCAACCCTGCCCTCTGCCCACAAAAAGTTCTTAGTTCCGTCCATGCTCTCTGTGTTCCCATTTTCTTTTATTCTCTCCTCCATTTACCGTCTCCTCTTTTTTCCATCCTCTCTTTTTTGCATTCTCTATCATTCGCTTTTCTCTTTTTATCCGCTCTTTATCGGGTTTTCATCGTCTTTTCTTTTCGTGTTGTTTGCGCCCCATTTTGTCAGCGCCCAGTGCGACTGTTCCACTTGCTTATTTGCCGCCACATCCTTGTGGGTGAATTAGGACGAAATCTCCCACATGACTTAGGTTTACTAACTGTATTAGCCAATCACGCTCTCTATCTGTGGCATGAGACATTTTCAAATCTCAGCACACTTCACGCTTGAAGATAGAGAATGAGAACCAAGGAAAAAGACGACGATGATCAGAAGAAGAACCCAGTGTTGTATCAAGTAGAACATTATAGACCTTATCTTTCAGGCGTTGATATTAAATCAAACATTTTTTGTATCTTTTTTGACTGTACACACTGACTACTGAATGAGCTCTGATTTGAGTACCTCAAGTGTATTTGTAATAGTTCATCAGATATTTCTTCCATTCGTATGAAGTGGGTACTTTTGCACTATTCACTTGTCCTCTGATAGTTTTAGGTTTGCTCACAATTTAGGCCTCCTCTGCAATATGGTTACATTTTGAATGGAGGGGTGCAATGGTGCTGTCACAGACTGCTTACGAATTTCCTGGGGGACGAGCCTCCCCAGATAGAGATTTAGAGACCAATCGTCAGAGATGCAACATGAAATTTCACAGAACGAAATTTCATTCGCTGAAAAATGGACTTTCATTTTGCTGAAAGGTGACATTTCATTTTGCTGAAAGGTGAAATTTCATTTTGCTTAGATGTGAAATTTCATTTTGCTGAGATGTGAAATTTCATTTTTCTGAAAAGTGAAATTTCATTCTCCATAAAATTTCGTAAATGAATTAGAGGCTGCGTATGCCACCGCAATAAAATTGTCCTAGACTTTGTCAAAAAATTCAAAATTTGACTCATTATATCATTTTTTCCCCTTTTTTTTCAAATTTTAAAATTAAGATATTTATGCTGACAATAAGCCCATTGCAGGAGTTGAAAAAAAAAAAAAATCGTGAAATTGTGCGTCTTTGCCCATCCTGATCGAAGGAAGGAGGGAATGTTCAAAAGAGGTCCTGAGAGAGAGAGAAAGAGAGAGACTCAGCGAAATTTCTTCATACAAAACTAAACGATGTTCCAAAAATCTGCCGAAAGTAACCCCTAGCCATTTCGCCCAAAATTTAGGAGACGGTTGCCCTCCAACTCCCCGAGCAAGTCTGTCTCTGGAGTGGTGTGGTTAAGGACGAAAATCGATTCCGTCAAAAACATTTTACCAACATGTTCCATCAAATAAAATGGGAATCGCTAAAATGTTTTTTTTTTTTTTTTTTTTTTAAAAAAAAAAACTCGAACTTCTCACAATTATTTTTTTGATCGAGGGTCGTTTTGGAGGGTCCGCCACTCTCCATCCATAGCGATGATAGCGCCACTAGTCGATAAATGCACTCAATTTTGCAATTAGGAACTACAATTTCTGGCTGGGCATAGGAACATCGTATGCACCATTAGTTTCCCCATGCATGTAAGTCTTTTTACAGATGAGCCAGAAATTGTAGTTCCGAATTGCAAAATATAGTGCAAATAATGTTTGAAAGATAGAGCGTAGTTCGATTGCGGTGAATAAATTTCCATTGTCTCACCACGTTTTCTAAAGACGCTGATCTCAAAAAGTAAAAGCGGAAGCCAAAGACCCTCTTTTGCTTCCCGTCCTCAACGAAGAATTGAAATCCTAACTTTGGCTCTTGCCTCGAAGCAAGTGTCTGCAAGCCATTAAGGAAGGTGTTTTGATACCAGCGCACAGTCAATCGAGCCAACTGAAGAGATCGGACGAAATTTAGACATTTCCAAAGCTTAAGTAACTTCGTTTTTACAAAACGTCGAGATTTTAAAAGTGGTTTCATTGGTTTTTCCGCGAAATTTTTTCAGGAGCACCCCTATGAATTTAAAATGTGGCGAAATAACGCATGGTGTCTAGTTTTTTAAAAATCGGGGAAAACTGGGATTCATCAGAGAATGAAAATTTACCGGGGAAATCAGGGAAGCTTCTTCAACCACCCAGGGATCATTTCGGGACACCCAGGAACATTTTTTAAATTAAAATTTTGAATGTTCGCCAAAGAAACGGCTGAAAGATGAATTAAAATCGATATTCATATCTGAAACTCTGGAAAATAATATTCTCTTCCCCGAGAATATCCCGGGAAAGTGGGAGAAAACTTCGGTTTCTCGTCAGGGAATGAGCTCCTGAAAATCAGGGAAACTCAGGGAAAAATCAGGGAATGAGCTTTACCAAGAAAACTAGACACCACGAATAAACGCTAACATTTACAGTTTTTAGTCTGCAAATTTTACGTCCGACCTTTTCCATTGACTAGATCCTCTGTGCGGCGCGGCGCGATTGTCCCCCCTCTTCTCGTCGCTCCTCTGGCGTAAGGGCGTATCTCGATTCTGACATGAGCCCTGGAAAACATGGTGTTATATGGACGACAGGGTCCAAGTGAAAATCGAGATACGCCTTTACGTCGGAGGGGCGACGTTCTGTCCTAAGAAAATTATTCGACTACGCCTTATTCAGCTCAGAATATTTCGATTATCCTCGTTAAGGCACGTGGGCGTTTAATAAATCGCCAGAGTTAAGAACGCAGAGGAGGTTCAAAACCAGTTACACGCCAGGGCTTCAGGAAAGTCTGCACTCTTTGGAGAGAGGCCTTGGAAATTATTTTGGGCGACTCGTCCCTGCTAAAAATGATCATACTGGTCGATATCATGTTGTTGTCAACATGGTCCTTCTCGTTTCATATTTGAAGCGCTGGGTGCAGAAAGGGCATTTCTTGGTCGTGGTGTCTCAAAATCTCCGCTAACGTTTCATCCATTATAATTAAAGCAAATGTATGTAATTTGTCGTAACTTTTATTGAATACTCATTATATTTTACAGTGCTGAAAACGTACTTTTTTAGAA